ACATACATATAAATACACACACGCATACATATATATATTATACACACACACACACATACACACACACACACAAAGAAAAACAAGTAGATAGAATAGAAAATATAGAAAGCTAGGGTTTGTTTGTTTTTTGTTGTTTTTTTTATAAAAAAAAGAAGATAAATATAGATAAAGTAGAATTAAAATAGAATAGAAAGTGCTAGAGTTAGAGGGTCAAATAAAGGTGGAACAGATGTGTTTTTAGTCGTTTCTTGAAGATGGTTAAGGACTCAGCTGCTCGGATTGATTTGATTTGATATATGAACAACTATAATTTTTATAAGTTGCTCCCTTTTCACTACTGTTAAAAGGGATAGTTCACCCAAAATGAAAATTGTCATCATTTATTCAAGTTTTTCCAAATTCAATCCTTGATTCAAATTTCTTTTCTCAAAATCTTAATTGATTTGGTCTAAAGAGAGAAGAATTAATGACTATTTTTGTTTGAAGACTACATATAAAATAGCTACCAAAATAAATGTTGGTAACTGCAGTTTGACTAAAAAGTAATGACTAAAAGTTGACAAAAATGCAACGACTTTTCATCGACTAAAACTAGACTAAAACTATGAAAGACACAAATGACTAAAATGTGACTAAGACTATTAAGCATTTTCGTCTCAAGATAAAGACTATAAGACTAAATCAAAAATGCCTGTCAAAATTAACACTGGTCTTTAATTGCACATATCTGAACTGGTTCAAGTTTTCGTTGTCTTTCAAAAATAAAATGGATGTAAATAAAAACTCATCCAGGTCTTTAATTAAAAACTCTTTTGAATTGAAGGTGATTAAACTTCACAGTTCTCTTAAACTGCATACGTTTTGCACATCACAAGGCAATTTCCAGTTATCTAATCTCTCTATATGAGAGCACGCTTGTAAAGGAGCAGAGCTAGATTTATAATTCTGATTTCTTCAGAGGAAGCTGATCCTCCTATTTTAAAGAAGTAAAACATAAAATTGGATCTCACGGCTCATTAATGAGGAAAGGGAGTTTTGTTCCTGAGGGAAATGTACTGCGTACATGGTTCCTCCATATTCTTTGAAAATGTTACTACAACGGTGGACAACTGGCAGTTTTCTGTATAAATTGTTTTCAAAAGCTCTCTGTATGTATGAGGAACCTTTTAATGCTTTATCTTCTTTTCACCTTGATCTGCTGTATCCATTTAAAAATAATGTAACGTAGGTGACTGCAAAACACTGGAAACACCTTGTCGCTGGTTTGAGCCCTGCTTAAGCCCGGGATACACTTCACGATTTTTGGCTGTCCCAAACGAAAGATTGCCATCGTGAAGCAATCGTGGCAATTTCTGTGATCGTGGCTCTTAATCGGTGGTCCTATGTCGTACAGTGAGAGAGGTTCAAAGACGGGCGTTTTCCCGGTCTTACGACCAAAGATAGCCTACGATAGTTTTCTGACAGTGTCAGAAATTCAGCATGATCAACGCACAGTGTGTTTGCTTCTACGACCTGCGTCTACTCAGCAGCCAATGAAATTGCAACATGAAATGATGTATTGATCCACGCGACCTGCGGCGCCACAATTTCAATGCCATGGAGACAAAAAAAATTAGGTATACTGGTATGTGGGATACCCATAAAGAACAAATTATTGTTGAGTTGTGGCAGCAGAGGGCATGTTTGTACGATGTGTCCTCTAGCTGCTATCATGACCGCACCAAAAAGGACATAGCATGGAAGGAGATAGCGGAGGAACTGCAGCTGCCAAGCTCCCTGTGCAAAACTGGCATCCCAAGTTGTCCTCTTTTCCCGAGCCATGAGCGGGTCCATATTGCCCTCTTCCGCCGGCGCCTCTTCTTTGTTTCAGCGCACATGAAAAGCACAACTGCCAAAGTGCGATCCATCTTGATGTACCGGTATTTGTTTACCACTAGCGCATGCTGATGACGTTGCGCTAACGTGTGTTGCAGCCGTCGCAGCCTACGATTCAATAGGTTTCATCATCGTACAGTCTACATGCTTGTCGTACCCAAGTACCGGCGATCCATGTCGCACAGTGTGATAAAGTAATGATCTTATAGGATTGCTAAAATCGTGCAGTGTATCCCGGGCTTAAATCAGGGGTGGGCAACTCTGGCCCTCAGGATCCACTTCCCTTCAGAGATTACCTCCAACCTTGATCAAACTCACATGCATGTAACTTTTTTGTAACCCTTGATTAGACTGTTCAGGTGTTCAAGCTAAACTCTGCAGGAAAGAGGATCCTGAATGCCATAACTGCCCACCCCTGGTCTAAGGTCAATGAATCACCAAAGAGTGGATACATGCGCTGCAAAAATCCTTCCTCTGTTGTTGTGCTCTCTTTGAAAACTGGGAGCTCTGAATCATGGCTTACTCTTCTAATATAGTTTGTGTGTCTTATGGGATGTTTATCACTTGTTGATATGTATGGTCACCCAGCAGGAAGTGTCCTTGCATCGATTCGTTACAGGAGGCCTTTGTTCACCCCCCGGAGCTGTGTGAGACACTTTTTTTTGTGGAAGG